TCAGCAGGAGCTCTGCCAGCGTCTGGGCCGGTGTTGTCTCTGAACATTCTGGTTGCCTCTTGTATCTCTCCAACATTTGGCTCTTTCACAAATGGCTCAGTTCTCTGGGGAAAGGCCCTTTGATGCTTGCCTTTTCCCATCTCACCATTGAGGTGTGCATGAAAGAGCTCCCTCCAACTTGACATCAGTGCATTGCTTGTGTTACTAAATGCTTTCCATTGTTCTGGATCAGACTGACTTGCAGGCAAAATCCTCACTTCACACTTTGATTCCCTTGTAAAAAGGGAATCATTGTTGGTCATTGGTCATTGTTAATATGATGCTGCTCCCTTTTCTCTTTGCATGGACTCTTGGACTATCTTTTGTCTTTATCATGTTCCCAAATGTGAGTCTGACTCTGACTTGGGAGGCATGCAGACTTTTCTGTGTACCCATCCTCAACTGCTTTCAACCCGTCTCCTTCTCTATCTATACCTAGAGTTACATGGCAGCTACCCTTGGTGCAGCATTTCACTTGTTTCAGATCAGCCCCTGTTTTATGCCTCCTGCCACCATTGACTCCCACCACCAGTGCTGCCAAGTGCCATGCTCTCCCAGAAACGTTTTGCCTCAAACATTGGGAAACACTGCTTTAGTGTATCTATGCTGGTCTTCTGCTTGGCACCATCACCCCCTGTACCCTTCATACAGTGCTCTGCTAAAGTATGACACCTCCTCTTAACTGCCTTCTGATATTCCCTATCTACAGGAGATGATTTACTGTGTAGTAGACTAATTTACTGCACAGTAAGGTGTCATTATCTATACATGCAGACACTTAGTTGGCATGTCTACATGTGTGCCTGACTGCGCAATTGTTACTGCACAGTCATTTAGTGCTTGCTTTAGCAAGTCTACTCATGTAGACGTGCCCACTGTGCAGTAAATTAGTCTACTGTGTGGTTAGTTTGCTACCTTCAAATTAAGGTAGCAAATTAATCGTACAGTAGTTACTGTGCAGTACTGCACATGTAGATACCCACTGGTGGCACGACCAGAGGGCCATCTTCAGGCTTGCCCAAGGGGCGTGGGGCTCAGAGGGTCTCCAGCCCCGAGGCTAGAGTGTCTCTTTGCCTGCCCCAGTCTGATCTTTAAAACTTTTGCTGTGACCCCGGGGCCTGTGCCACTTGCTGGCAGGTAATGTACCAAGACATGTTCCTGGTGCCCCAAGGGCCCTCCCCCACTGAAGAGTCATCACCACTGCCAGGCCATAGCACAACTCTGTCTGGGGGCATAAAGATGTGGTCAAGCTGCTACATAATGGACATGGTCCTGTGGGCAGCCCTGGCTTCATCCAGCACCACTGGCATCCTGGGCCAGCAGCTGCCTCACCAGCTCTGTGTGTGCAGCGCTGCCCAGGAGGACTGCCTGGGGATGGTGCTACCCACCCTGACAACCTCCAGCTCTTCCCAGGAGGGGACCACTGCCCAGCCAGCCAGGTACTGTGCCCCTGCACCCCAGGACACTGGTGGGAGCCACATGTCATCATCGCCAGTGGGGACAGATTCAGGCCACCAAGAATGCCTGCCATGCCATCTGGTAAGCCCTGCACTGGGAGGAGGGCCCTCCCCTCCCTGCCCCTGCCCTCCCCTCTGCACCAGCTTAGCTGAGCTCCCCCTGGTCCCCGGGGTTTCCCCCCACAGCATGCAGGGAAGTGGAAAGTAATGCAAAACTTTATTGAGCAGCCAGTGCCCCCTCAACTAGACATCCACGGGCCTGTCACACATGGAGAAATGTGTCGATGCCTGCAGCAATGTCGTCCTCAGCTGCAGGGGACAGGGACATGTAGCATAGGCAGAGGGACCCTTCCAGGTGGTGGTGCAAATTGTGGGAAAGCATGGGCTTGCCTGAGGCACCATTGAAGCTCACGTTTCGATGCCAGGATCTCAGGTGCACCTGGGGCACCATGGCGATCAGCAGCAGTAGGGCATAGTAGATAGAGCACACCTCGGTGCACACAAGCAGCTCATCATGGCACGCCTGGAGCACTCTCACCAGGGGCATGTTTGGGGCACAGACCATGCATGGGGGGTGGGGGGGGCAGGCCTGGCCCCAGGCCACCTCTCTGAAGAGGGCCCCTTGGGGGAGGGCAGGGGTGCCACCAGCTCTGAACCCAGTTAGTTGGGACCCCCTCACCCCAGCAGTGAGGGCTTGGCAGCATGGGAGGAGACTGCCTGACCTGCAGGAGAAGAAGGTGGGGAGTGGGTCTGGAGCACTTGCAGCAGGTGCTGCCAGGAGCCAGACCTGTTCTGGCCTGGGAAGGGAGTGGGGAAGGCAGGCTGCCTGCAGCAAGCACCCAGCAGGCTTGGCCAGTGGCCACCTGTGCCAGGGCCTGCTTGGCCAATTTACCATGGTCCCTGGGCACCTGTGTACATGCAATCTGAGGCTGGGCAGCACACAGCATTGAGGACATTGCATGCGAACAGCAGAAGGTCATGTGCGAGCTGGAGAGGTACTGGGAGAGGGCCTGGGAGGACCAGGTGTTCAAGGACAAGCTCCTGGCCCTCCAAGGAGAGGCACATTGGCCTGTCTGAGAGGATGCTGGAGGCCTAGGAGCAGCAAGCCACCATGGTGGTCAAGGCAGTGGGGGCCACTGAGTACCATCCTGGCCCTGACAGCCTCCTTCACGCTGCCCGCTGCTGAGCTGGAGAGGTACTGGGAGAGGGCCTGGGAGGACCAGGTGTTCAAGGACAAGCTCCTGGCCCTCCAAGGAGAGGCACATTGGCCTGTCTGAGAGGATGCTGGAGGCCTAGGAGCAGCAAGCCACCATGGTGGTCAAGGCAGTGGGGGCCACTGAGTACCATCCTGGCCCTGACAGCCTCCTTCACGCTGCCCGCTGCTTAGCCCCACCTGCCCCCTGGCAGCTGCCCACCGCCTAGCAGCAAGCTCCACAGCTGGCTTGGGCTGCGGTGCCCATCCATCCCCCCACTCCTCCCCCCCGCCCCGCTTACCACATATGGGTCCTGCTGCCCTTCACCCCAGGCTGCAGGAGTGGGAGCCCTCCGCACCAGCAGACCAGCGGCCACCCTTGCCACTGGATGATCCCCCCACCTGCTGGCCTCACCATGGAGTGCACACTCACAGTGATGCAGCCAGAGGCTGGGGTGCTGGCCACCCGTTCCTGGGATTCACTCCACAGGCACTGCCACCTCACTGTCCCTCACCCCAGGAAGGCACACGGAGCACAATATGTACAGTTTGCACGAGGAAGAGGGTGCTTTATTGGTGGTGGGTGCGGTGGTTGGAAGGTGGTGGGGATCTGTGTTTGGGGAGGGAAGGTGGGAGAGTGGGAGAAGGTCTGTGTTTGTGGAGGGAAATAAAGACTTCCAGAAAACTGTCCACAGACCTCACAAATTTTATGCAGCACACAGGCTGTGACAACTACCCACAGGATGTTGGCCTCCACGACCTTGAAGCAGGCGGTGAGGGTGCAACAGCGTCCCTTCAGGCGGCCAAAGGTGCACTCCACCAGCATGCAGGTGCAGCCCAGACACCTGTTGAAATGTGTCTGGTGGGGGTCCAGCTGGCCAGCGTACAGCTGCATGAACCAGGGAAGCAGTAGGTAGGCAGAGTCCCGGATGAGGAGAGGTGGGATTGTCACCTTGCTAAGCTGGAGGTCTGGCACACCTGGTGCGAAACACCCACTCTTCATCAGGGCCAGCAGAGTGGAGTTGCAAAAGATGTGGGCATTGTGGGCACTGCCAGCCCAGCTGGTACTGACTTTGGTGAAGACACCGTGGTGATCCACAACAGCCTGCAGTGGAAACAAATGAAAGGTTCACCAGCTGTCGTATGGGTGGTCACCGCAGGGTAGGCAGGTGATGGGAATGTGGGTCCCGTCCGGGGCCCTGACACACTGGGGAAAGCCCAGGGCATGGAACCCCACCACCACCTCGAGGGGGTCATGGATCTGGAGCACAATGTGCCCCAGCACATCCTGGAGGGAGCCACAGACCTCCAGGATGGCCTCCCTGGCAGTCATTTTGCCCACCCTGAAGAGGGTGTAGCAGAGGCTGGCTGGCTGGCTTGGCCAGCTTGAGCAGGGTGATGGCCAGCCAGGTCTCCATGGGGAGGGTGGCTACATGGTGATGGCCTGCTGCTCCAGGTGCAGGCTGCTTGAGAAGCTCCTGGAATGTGGTCCAGGTCATCCAGAATGAGTCCAGCCACTGCTTATCATCCTAGGAGTGCTGGATGACACGGAGCCACCAGTCCTGGCTAGCAGAACAGGCCCACAGGCAGCGGGACTGGAGCCCCAGGAGCTCATGGACAGCACCCATGGCAGTGTCCATGTGTACATTGTCAGCATCCCTGCTGGGGTCTGGGCCAGCATCAGCATGGGATCAGGGGGCCTCAGAGGGAGCAGTGATCCTGGTCACGTGGCTATGCGGCAAAGGAGAACAGCAAGTGCTGGGGCTAACCAGGGCCAGGCGGCAATCACTGTGGCATTGAACCATAGTGAGCAGGGCAGCAAATAGATGCCCAGGGCATGGGTTGTCACTGCTGGGGTCTTGGACTTCTGGCCACAAGATGGTGTCCAGGAACATGGCATCTGTCAAAGCACAGAGCTACCCATGTGGCCCTTGACAGCTTGCCAAAACTTGGTAAGCAGCCCTACACCTGAAATAATTGCCCACCCCTGCTCTAATCAGCTTCCATAAATCCTCAGCTGCCTTTCTAGGGTTAGCACTGGAGACACCTAAGAAAATGTTGACCTTGTACTTTAGAATAGTTTTATACACTTAGTTTTCACTCAAATGTACATCCCTCCCCTGTGCTCCCTGCAGTTGGAATGGTGTGACAAGGTCCCCTAACCCCTGTTACTTCAATAGTGCACTAGGAGATGGCAGTCAGCAGAAGCCCCATGGCTTTCTAGAGAAATAGCCAGTACGGCAAGCACAACTTATCCAGGACATGTAGTGTAGTTAAAGGGCTACAGGGCCTAGTCTTCAAACTGCAGGCAGCAGGGTGCTAAGCTATTAGGCTAATTAGAAGCACCCAGGCTTGGTTTGCAGAGAGCCAAATCAGATGACCAGAAAGGGGAGGAGTCTGGGGCATGAACGACGCGTGCCCCGGAGGCTGGGGGGGCACAGCGACCGCCCGCAGGTGGCAGTGGCAGTGGCGCTGGTGTGACAGTGGCAAGTGGGGAACTCCCACAGGCAGCTGCGGTGGTGTCGGCAGCAGGGGCAGGCCGAGCATGGAGCTCGGGCAGGCAGCTGTGGCAGTGTTGGTGGCAAGGGCAGAGGGGTGGCAAGTGAAGACCACCCACAGGTGTCGCCAGCTGCATTGGCAGCGCTTTTCACAGGGGGTGCACTGCCAATCTCAGGGGGTGTGCATGCACCTGTGTGCACCCCCCATGTGTCCTACCCCAGGACTAGTGGGATGAGTCTGACCCTGATCTCTGGAGAGGAAGGGAGCTCAGCAAAAAGGCCCTGGGAAGCTAAGTGATTTTCTTTTATGTTGGGTTGATTTTTGTAAGCAGAGGCCTGGGTTGTGCCTATGAGGTGGATTGGAGGCCACAGGGGGTGCATGGGAAGCACTCTGGGCTTTGAGACTTGCAAGGGCCAGGGGCCCAGATAGCTGAGACAGTGAAGGACCAGCCCTGTAATGGGCAGGGACATGATGGGCTGAATCCAGTATAGGGCCAGAGGTCCCAGTTAATGGAACAGAGTAATACCAGTGAAGCATGGATGTAGCAATCAGGGAGGCTGGAGGCCATGACTAGTGCTTGTAAGGCACAACTAGGGCTAGAAGATCACAATTAAGGCCAAATAGGGCTATGATTGATGTCATGTGTCGGGCTCCCCGGGGTGGCCATGATGCCCCTGGGGCTCTGTGAGAGTGTGTCAGCTCTGCCCCATGGGCACCTTCTGATCTTTCCTGCCATACCTTGTTGGTAAAGTAATGAGTAGGGAGGCTGCCCA